TAAAGATACTAACAGTGTTGCTTGTGTTTTTTTTCAAGGAGCTAAGGTAAGAAACCTAACGTTGCTTAAAGCTAGAGTCAACAGGTAGTGAGGAGGTAAAATAAACTGTGGGTGTTAGTGTTGATGGGCAAGATGTTTTCTCTCTCTCAATTTTTTTCTATCCTTGGGTTTCCAAATCAAATTTTCTTGCTTTAGAACTCAGCTGGACTGAAGGGTCCGGTTCCATGCTGTACAGCCCTATGACTCTGTGTCTCGTAATAATCTTCCCAACAGGCAATTAGAATAAGTCAAAATACGCTCTGCACATATTTTCAGCTCAGAATACTCCTATGCATTGGTTCCAATGCTGATAGTAACATGTTATTTGTAAGGAAAATATCATCTTTATTATTGAAATATTTTAAAAGCTTAGAACAAAACATGTTAATGGATGTGGAAAGGCTCACACTTGCATGTAGCGGACTTCCTTTATTTGTGTTTTTACATGTCTCAATTAAGATTCTGCAGTGGACCACCAAACTGAATCTGACAAAATGCAACTAGTACAAAATTCTGTATTGTGCACCTCAATGAAATGCAGATTAATTTCTTCTGTATTGTTTTGAATGGAGTCTCGTGAGCAAAACAGTCCTAAATTTAAATCTGTCCTTGGTTGTGCTTTGTTGAGGTTGTCATGTATCATTTTATCGATTTGACCTCCAGGTGATTTGTTACCTATGCTCCTGTTGCAGCCAGGAACAGCATGGTGATAAATCTCAATACCAACCCCACCCCACACACTCGCACCCCCTCCTCCTGCTCTTGTCTGCTCTTCCCTCTTTCTCCACCCACATTTTTCCATGATCAGTGGATGAATTGTGTGATGTGTAGAGTATCCAGAAGGAATATTGGCTTTGAAAATGTTCCACTGCACAAATCCTTTTCGCACACAGAAATTTATTCCTTTAAATGTACACAATTTTTGCCCTGTTGCATGTTTCCCACAGCTCCAATGCTATGAGAGTGCCTTGAAGTTTTCAATCACTCGGCATTAGGAGAGCTTCATTGTGGAGTCTTTAATGAGTTCCTTGAAGACTACACAGGACCCCACTTGGTCAGTAATCTGAGCAAATTATTCACTGTGGTGAAAGGTTCAAATGTTTGAGGATACAGGTTTAGAAATGAGGAATTTCAGACTAAAGGGATAAAGCTTTTTCACCCAAAGTTTAATAAATGTAAGTAATTATTAATCAAAAAAGAGAAAAAACAACTAACATGAGAAAAAAGGGGCAGATAATGTAAATGGACTGGGCATGTAATGGGATAATTGTCTAGGAGGAGAAGGGATTGAGCTACATCGTGTGAATAGGTGGTGTTGTGATCAGTCAAAGAAAAAAGATAGCTCAGATCAAACACATTCTAGAATTCGATTTTCAGAATAATTCCTATGCAAGGGATGTAAGAAGTCTATTGGTTTCTATTTCGATGGACATCAGGCAAAAAAATTTAATGTAGACACTGGTAAAGTCAATCGTTTTGGGAGGCAGAATAATGGTGATCATTTTCTACACAATATGCAAGTTGGATCCATAGATCTTTAAAAGAGGTCTGGTTGATGACACACATTTTCTAAAGAAAAACCTGCATAAAGACTCATTTGTTTTATAAATAGTGGTGCAGATTACAAAAGCAATGATGGGGTGCTAAACCTGTGTAAATTATTGAATAGATCGCAGGTTGGGTGTCATCAGGTATAGGATATATGACCCTGTGAGTCCTGCGTTTTTTGACTGAACACATTTGGGTCTCCACTTCAAACAGGTGCCTTAGTCATAGAGAGCTATTCTAAATAATACCCAGGGTGAGGTATGATGCAGAAACTGGAAAAAAAAATGGAGGTCTTTTTTATGAACAAAGAAAGGTTGAAAAGGAATCTCTGAAATTTTATTGAAATTCAGAAAAGTTGATGATGAGGTTAAGGCAAAGTAGTTTTCATGGTTGGTTTGCAATAAATCATAAATTTCAGATCATCGCCAAATGTACAGTGTTGTTAAGCTGTAAGCGCAGTACTAGAAATAGTAGTAAGTGCATAATTTGTAGCAGCTTTTCAAAGGGATTTGCATAAATATTCAAAAAGTGAAATTTATATAAGTAGGGAAGTGAAGCTAAATGGATATAGGAACAGAATTAGGCCATTCACCCCATCGAGTCTGCTCTGCTATTCTATCATTGTTGATTTATTTCTTAACCCTATTCTCCTTTCTGCTCCCAATAACCCTTGATCCTCTTACTAATTAAGAATCTATCAATCTCTGTCTTAAGTATACTCAATGACTTGGCCTCCAATGCCTTCTGCAGCAATGAGTTCCACAGAGTCACCACCCTCTGTCTGAAGAAATTCTTCCTCATCTCAGTTCTAAATGGTCATCCGTTTACTCTAAGATTATGCTATCAGGTCCTATTCTCTCCCAGTAGTGGAAACATCTTCTCCACATACACCCTATCCGGGCCTTTCAGTATCCTGTAAGTTTCACATGACACCAGGTTATAGTCCAACAGAATTATTTAAAATTGCAAGCTTTCAGAACTCAGCTCATTCGTCAAGCGTAGTGTGAGAGAGAGGCTATAAACTTTGGAGAGAAAAATTCTCTGGAGGATAAGACAGGCAGATTTTTGAGTCCTTTTGGTTGGATTGTGATAGATCAAGCTAACTTTCTAACTCTTATCTTCCTTGTGAATTGAGTGCAGTATCCAATTAAGTGCACAAGGTATGAGGAATATAAAAACAAACTGGTTTATCAATACTAGATCTTGAGTTTAATAATTCAGATGATTATCAGTTTAATAATAAGGATTCTAGTGTTTATCTTTAAACTGTGCTGTCATTTTCATCACAGATTGCGTGCAAGCCCCTGGGGAAGATCCTTTAGATGCCTTCATGACCAAAATCCGAACAGGAGCAACAGTAGATAGTGTCACTCGAAAGAAATTGCACATTAAGTCCTTTGAACTAAAAAGAGAGCAGCAAAGGCTACAGAAACTGATAAAGATAGTGACACCAGCAGATTTACCAGAGCTGAAAATGGAGTAAGTCAAGTATGCAGCCCTAAATTTTTATTGCAATGGTGTCATTCAATCTACACATGGTTACATCAGTAGATAGATAATGTCTGTCCACTGCACTTGAGCAACACTGCTAATCCCTCATTACCTCACAACGGGAGGAGCATGTCTAGGCTATTTAGCCGCTCAAGCCTGTTTCACTATTCAGTTAGGTTGTGACAGATCTGTAGCTTAATTTCATCTACCCATCTTGATCCATACCCCTTGATACCTTTTGCCTAAGAAAAATCCATCATTCCTGGTATTGATACTCATCCCATCCTATTCAATCTCACAAGACCAGAGTTGGAGACAAGGTTTAAAATTCCCACTATCCTATATATGCAAAACTACTTCCTAACTTTTCCCTGTAATGACCTAACTATAATATTAAAGTCACACTTCATTGTTCTGGGCTCCCCCCACCAGAGGAAGTAGCTTCCTTCTATCAACTCATGAATCATTGTAATTAAATCGCCCTTTAATTTTCTGTCCTGCGAGGAATATAAGCCACTATACATGATGGTGATACCGATTGGTGAAAACAAAGAGCATCTAATTTAACCTCACTATTTATTTAGGTAACCTCAGGTGGGAGTGAGAAAGAAACAAAAGGCCTATCATATAGCCCACTACTCTGAATATTGAGTAATTTTTGCATCACAAAACTTCACCTTGTTTGAAATTTTCAAGAATGGAGAGGAATTTTCTTGAGTCCTTAATACCTCTAGGCCTTAAAAGTTTTGGAAAATCATTGATGCACTGCCTGTCATTGACATTCACGGACAGAACATTTGAGGGAATACATTCTGTGTTCCCAATGTGCAGCTCAAAGCCCAGATGCTGGCAATGGGGCTTTGAAAATACTGTCAGTAATTTTACATCGTTTCATGTAATACTAGAATTGAATTTTAGAAAATAGAACCTCAACAAGATTACATTGAGGATAGCAGTAAGCGGGGCTGATTTGCCATACTTTAAACCTTAGCAACCTTGGCTAATTGTACATCTTGATACGAATGTAGACAAAGGAACTGAACTCAGGAGTCAAGGAGGAAGTAACTGATCTTGATATCAAGGCAGCACTTGACTGAGTTTGGCATCGAAGAGCCCTAGCTGAAGTCAATTCAACCATCTTCAGCTGCTTCATCAGTGACTGTCCCTCCATAAGAAGGTCAGAAGTTGGGTTGTTTGCTGATGATTACTCAACTTTCAGCACCATTTGGGACACCTCAGATACTGAAACAGTCTATGCCCAAATGCAGGAAAACCTGGATGATATCCAGGCTTGGGTTCACAAGTAATATTTGTGTCACATAGGTGCAAGGCACTTACCATTTCCAACAAGAGACAAACTAACCATTGCCCCTTGACATCCAATGGCATTAACATTGCTGAGTTCCCCACTATCAAATCCTGGGGGAAGAACTCGACTAGCCATTTAAATACTGTGGCTACAAGAACAGACAAGAGGCTAGGAATCTTGCCACGAGTAACCCTGTGACTTCTACCATCAAGTGGACAAAGAGTAACAAGTTCTTGGTGGTGCTTTTACCTGCAAACTCATTTCAAAGAAAACACCATTTTGACTAAGAAATGCATAACCTATATTTACCATGCTGGATAAAAATCTTGAAATTCCCTACCTGAATCTATATCATATTGAAACCTAAAGCAATTCAACAATCACTCATTGCAGTATTTGAAGATGATATAACTGAAACATACGATGTCAGTAGGTTTTCTAATTTCTAATGGTAGCCGTTGGAATTTTAGTTTCTAATGACTTGGCTTTGGATCTCAAATGCTACTTGATACATCATTTGATAGAGAACTTCTTTTAATAATCCTGTAAATAATCATTCCCACATGTGCAGGCACAATCTGTGAATTCTCTGTCCTTCATACAGTTTCCTCTCACTGCACAATTTTAATGCTATGTAAGGTTTTCTGCTCGAGTCTCTGGAGTGAGACTTGAACTCTATCCTCCTTACTGTGAGACAGGATTGCTACCAACCGTGCTACAGCTGACACTTAATGACTCAGCTGCTCAATATGTAAGTTTTCAGTCATCAGGGACATCATCCATGGTAATCCTGAATTTGGTGATGACTTGTGAGGAGGTGAAGTTCCATACGTTCAGGAAGTATTTTGTCCAGATGTGCTGTTGACAGACTATTTCATTAATTATGATCTGATCTAATTCAATTCTCACCCATCTATTTTATACTTGTAGCAAAGCTAATTGTCAGTAGTAAGATGTGCTGATGCCTCAACCCCAGCTCAAGGATGCTAAGTCTAATTGTGGCTCACCAGTGCTGGATTTGGAGAATTCCTGACATCATTACCTGAAGTGCCACTTTATGCAATAATCATGGAACCCTCCAAAATGTTTAGCTTTTATTTAATACCAAAATTAGCATTAGTCGCAGTTACAAATTATTAGTTCAGCTTCTTGTACTGGAGGGGGCAGTATTGATTGGTATTGGAAAAAATGTATTTCAAAAGCTATGTCTCAGAATGAGAACAAATATAGATACCACTTGCATGAGCTGGAATTCCTGCTTCTTAAAAGTTTAATTGGATAATACATCTTAGGGAAGATATTGAAGATGACTTAAGTTTAAAAGAAAATATTTCTTTCCAAGGATTGCGAGTCCGTCTGGAGACGCAGAACCCAAACCTAAGAAAATTGCTCTGCCCATGTTTGGGGCAATGAAGGGAGGAAAAAAGTATAAACTGAAGACAGGCACCATTGGGGTAAGTGAAGTGAAGTATGATTTTTACCTAATGAAGAAATTATTCTACACCCTGTTGTCCTACTTCATCTACGACTACTGGGACATAAATATTCCTTTAACAACTAGGCAATCAAAGCAATGCTGCGGAAGATTCACTGGTTAATCTATTCCATCTGATTTTATCTATTTGCATTCAAATTTTGTCGAGAGTGAGTGTCAATGACCTTGCCAAGGCTCCAATTTAAAAGAGTTACTGAGATCTGATGAAGGGGCTAAATGAACATTTGTGCAGATACTGTCATTAACCCAATAGTGCATCAGTATAAACTATCTTTGTCAGTTCTATTCTGAGACTTTGCTGAGCTCAACTACCATTTAAAGTCAGTTGCATAGTATAAACAGTATAGAAACTGATCATTCAGCCAAACAGAGCCTTGCTGATATTCCCATTCCACCAGTACTTTATTTGTTAAAAGCACAGGACCAAGAGAAATGTGGAACAAATTAAGAAGAGGAGTAGGCCTTCAAACCTACTCTGCCATTCATTGAGGCATGACTTATGAATACAGCAATGCATCACATCCTTGGCTCTGTATTGCTGAATGTCCTAGCCGGTTAAAATGCAAAATACCTCTTTTTCTTTTAAATAAGGTGGCTTTGATGGTAACTGAAGCTTCCTTCACCAGATCTTCCTACATTGTTTTTTTTAGTCCAGCAAATTTGCAAAAACTGGTGTATTATCCCCCTTTCTCCTATAGCAGTGATTTAAAGATGAGTGCCTCCATAAAAACAAATTGGATCGCTATATGTTTAAGAATTTAAAATCCCCCACAGGCTGCTGTGGTTGTAAAATGAGATATTTATGCAGCATGACAAGAGGCTTGATTATTTAACACAAAAATCTATCATCTGAATTATTGATAGCTAAAGAGGTAGTAAACCTTTTCAGCTTCAGAACTTTAAATTACTTGTGAGATTGGACTGAGCCACAGGCTAAAATAAGATGTGTCTGTGATTCCGATGGTCGCTGTCAGGATCTTACTGTGGCTACTAATTATTGCCTCTTCTTTTTCTCTTGATGACAGTTAGTAGATATTCATTGCAGGACTAAAGGATTTAGATATTTGATCTTGGCTGGGTAAATCAAAGCTTTGCTCATACTCCAGTAGTTTTTTTTTTAACAGCTGCCTTTAGTTTTCTCCTCTCCATAGCATGGTGACTTGTGGAGTAACCAAGCCAAAGTCACACCTGTGTCTGATAGTCATTCTTTTTCCCTATGAATAGCAAAAGGATTAGGGAAGGTAATGAAGTGGATGTTTTCTTTCACACTGTTTCAGATTTTGCATGTTTAATTATGTTTACTGCTGTTGTTGCAAATCAGCATTCTTTTCATTCACTCTTTAAGCCTTCTGGCTGAGTTTACTTCCTAGTTTTGACATGTGAAAGCGTTTTGGAAATTAACCAGGTTGTATCACATTGTTTCCTTCATTACTAAGCTTCAATTACCTTACTTTTAGTCAACAAGGAGTTGCTCCTCCTACTTATCTTTCTCCTCAAAATCAAGGAGCCAAAAGAAGAAAGGAAATGGGTTAAATGTTGGTGGAATCAAATTGAATTAAGCATGGATGTATGAATTCAGACAGGGGTAAAAACAGAGGATCACAAGAAATAGGAGCAGGAATAAGCCTTTTGGCCCATTGGGCCTGCTCCACCATTCAAGACGATCAAAGCTGATCACTCCCTTCCTCCCAAAATCTGTCAAACTCACCCATAAATGTACTCAAAGATACAACTTCCACTGTGCTTTGGGGAAGAGAATTCCATAGACTTAATGACCCTTTGAGAAATGAAATTCATCCTCCTCTCCATCTTAAATAGGAATCCCCTTATTATGAAACTGTCGCCTGTAGAAGGGTGTTCTACCTCAATGAGGTAAAATAATGGCCGTGAGCAGTACAATGCCTCTGGGTTTAGAACCGATTCAGGAGCAAGTTGCTCCAGCCCACACTTTTTCCAGCAGTGGTTGGAAAATTGACTGAAGAGCAGATTGAGTGAACAAGTTAATGGGTGCAGGAGGCAGACAGAACTGCTGAAGTGCAAGCTTAGTTTAAATGAATTGTGACAGCTGTTTGGGGAAAAGAAGGTTCAAGAACCTGGGAGACAGAATGAGATCTTGAGGTAGAGGTATGTCCCTCGCTTCTCAAATGCTAACTCATACATCCTTCTGGAGGTTGTGAGAGGGAAGAGTTAGGCCCTCTTCCAAAAGGGAAGAAGGAGAAACCCACCTAACCCCACAAAACAGTCACAATCAGTAACAAAATTGTAGCCTGAAGCAGTACAAGAAAAAGTGCAGTGATCTTCATTCTGGCAAGGTGATTGCAATCTGAGACTCTGGCAAGCCTCTCAGTATTCAATTTCCCTCAGCCTGCAGGTATATGTTGCTCCTGAGCACAGTACAGGGCATTTGCGGTTTGCACAACCTCCACTCCACCCCAGTAAGGCCCATAGCCTGAACACAGCTGAGGACCTGTCATGCAGCTTCCTACGTTTATGAACCAAGGGCATCTGTCAAAGGGATGAGCAGGGTTTACACTCTCTCTCTTTCTTACCTTTGTCTTTGCATGAGGAAACTAGGCACGTAGTGCCAGGAGAATGCTTGAGAAAAGTAGGCATATAGTGCCAGGAGAGTGCTGCAGCTCACCACATCATTGCCATGGAAACTGCCATGGTGGCTCTGTAGAACCAGCTGAGCAATGGAGAAAGGCTAAACCAGAGGAGAGGATGGAAAGATATTGCAATCTGTAAATGAAGAGGTTGGGATACACTGCCCAGTCTACCCAACTTGCAGCATGCCAAGGACAACTGAATTGGGATGCCTCAACATTTCAGTGGCTTCTGCTGCCAAAGTTCTTTGACGTCCTTCTTGTGTCACCCATATTTTCGATCATTGTCACATGTCTGAGTCCTGCCACAGCACCAGGGAGGTGGTGCATGGCTGAGACAGCAGACGCAGCAGCAGCAGCACCTCATAAATGCAACCTTTATCAATAGAGAAATAATGATAGCGATGGTTCCTCATGTGTGATTAGAAAGGATAATACTGGGTGAAGAGCAAGACCCCAAATTCTCAGCTGGGCACATATGTTGAGTTTCAGGAGTCCTAAATAAAAGAGGGGATCTACTTAGACCAGCAGCATATCTTATTTATGACAGTACCCTGAGGCAGTGAGTAGTCCTGGGCTGAGAATGAAGGAGTTCATTCAGCTTATTTATGTCACCGTAGCTCAGGATTTGGACTACGTGAGCTCCTTCAATGAGAGAGTGGCCAACTTCATGGAGAGCTGTATGCGGCAGCACTCTTCTTGAGTGTAAGAATAGAACAGTGTGCAGGGTGCATACAACACTCTGTCGTGTTGGCTGGTCAGTAGTGTTGGTGGTACAATGACACATCAAGTGAATGCCAATTATGCCTCAGTTAGTGATCCCCTCCAGCAATCCAGAGCACCATTGAAGGGTTGAAGCAGTCACCGAGGAGGTCAGGGGAGCCACCATTCATCATCAGTGGCCCCTTGGCCCCTCTGAGTGAGGGATCATCTGTGCAATTGGACTTTGTGACAAGAACAGTGGCCATGGGCATCTCAACCGCAAGCAGACACAAGCAAGTAGGATACTGATACCTTATCTGAGGCCATCAGATGCCACTGGGGTTTGCTTCATTTGTAAGTATTTTCACCTTTTCAATACCCTTTCAATATTGACACATGATAACGTGTGAGCTTTCATTTTTCAATGGTAAGGCTGGAAAAAGAAGGAAGACTTGGTGAAGGCAGGGAAAGCATTTGAAAGAGAGTAGTGACACTACTGGACTGATGTGCATCATTCATTGTTTCATGATTTGCATCTTCATTGAAAGTGTTCTCACAGTAACCAAGTGGGTTCCTGAGGCCACCCACTGTGGGGTGAGGAGAGCTCAATTGATTGCAGATGATTCCTGTGTTGATGATTTCCTGATAAAACCTTGTTAATACTGCACTAGTCCCAACACCTCTCAGCATGACCGTTGCACCTCTTTACTGTACAATATCTTTTTGACATTACTGCTCTCCTATTCCTCTGATGAGCTATGTCATTTCAAAGTCCACAACCTTCTGGAGGACCATGTTATAGTGTGTGCACAGACACTGTGCAGAGTCCAGTGACACCACCATGTGACAGGAATATACAGCAGAGTACCAGCTGAGCAGTGCAGGCACCAGAACCATGTATTCAGTAGCCCAATGGCGAACCCATTGGTGGTCCTTATGAGCAAATTGCCTCTGTTTGATTGATAGATTGATTTATTGTCATGTGTCCCGAAAAACAGTGAAAAGCTTTGTTTATGAACGGTGCAGGCAAGTCACAGCAAGAAAAAATGTACAGATCAGAAAGACTTAGAGGCATACAGGTTACATTGCAGATTGCATTATTTGAGGCTAGAGTCCATTCAACAGTCTGATAATGGCCAGAAAGAAGCTGTTCCTGAACCTGCTCGTGTGTTTGTTCAGGCTTCTGTATCTTCTGCCTGATGGAAGAGCTTGTAAGAGAGCATTACCAGGGTGCGATGGGACTTTGATGATGCTGGCCACCTTTCCGCATCAGTGGGCCATGTAAATAGAGTCCAAGGATGGAAGGTTGGCTTCCGTGAAGGTCTGGGCTATGCGCACCACCTTCTGTAGTTTCTTACGGTCCTGGGCAGAGCAGTTGCCATACCAGGCCGTCATGCACCCAGACAGTATGCTTTCAATGGTGCATCTGTAGAAATTGGTGAGGGACCTTATGGACATGCCAAATTTCCTGAGCTGCCTGAAGATGAAGAGGCATTGTTGCACCTTCTTCACTGTCGCATTTACCTGAGAAGTCCAGGACAAATCATCGGTCATTGTCACTCTGAAGAACGTGATGCTCTTTACTCTCTCAACCTTAGTTCTGTTGATGTAGATGGGGGCGTGTTCTCCTCCTTTCTTTTTGAAGTCAATGATC